GTTTTCAATAATGACAATAATAAAGATACTATTCATGTTTAGGATTGGAAAAGCCCAGTTTACATATGTAGTGGATCTATGTGTATGTATATTACATGAGTAGGTCAAAATTTGACCAGTAATTAGACTCATCATTGTTAGCTCGAATGTATGTATTTGAACTTCAAAGTTATTGCCTTCAGATCAAAGATCAGAACCCAGCTGAACCCACAAACACTGTCATCCTGATACAGCAGCCTGCAAATTGGAGTCTAGGTAAAAACTATTGGTTGTTCATGTCGCGATGCAGGTTTTCAGTGAATGTGTTTTAATTAAATCGGACCTAGACATGCTGGAAGTAACATTTTGATTGGAACTTGCCACTCTAAACAATGTAATCACAACTTTAATAATGCAGTAGGTTGATAAAAAATGTTTTTCTCCTAAAGAGGATCTTCCAATAATGCTCTGACATAAAGTAGGGTGTCTGCAATACGATGAAGGTCTACTGTAGGATCAGCAGGTTTGTAAGATGCTCACTTGCTGAATTCAAAGAGGAGCTTCTCAAAGATGAGGATGGGTCCAGTGGAGCTGAGGATGATGAGGGGCTGCCCGCTGAAGAGACAGAAGACCGTACCAGCCAGGGCTGTACCCAGGAAGCTCTCCATCACACCCTGTTGGAGGAAGGACTTGGTGAGATTCACAAACCAAGTTCAAAAAAGCTGGAGCAGTTGAGAAACAAGTGTTGTGTTGTGGTGCTAATTAAGTCAGCAAATTAAACTTCAGATGAGAGGAAGAGAGCGATGATAAAACTAAGCAGTGGGTGTGAGGAGGGAGTGACAGCTGTGTTTGTATTCATCAGACATTAAACACAGGGTCAAGATGTTTTATTTCAGCTTGAATGAGTGCAAGAAATGAATCCTGTAAGGAGCTGTCTTTGTGTGCATGAGTGTGTAAATGCATCAGTTGGTAGAAAGGTACTGATGGACCCACAGAAGAAAAGGAGACCAGATCTAATTATGAAAACCTAAAAATACTCAGACGTCACAGTCCAGTGGAGCTTGAGACTTATTTGCAAAATCAGAAAAGGCAAAGGTCATATTAATGACTCATCACTGCTTCATAACTGAGCAATAAAATGAAATTAATGATGGTATCCTTTAGCTTTCCTCACACATAAAGAAGACTGACGAAGACTGAATAAGGTCATCTGGTTCTGGACAAACTAAATTACACAGAGGAAAACATTGTCACTTGTTTGAAAAAAATAGCTGTGCACAACTAAAAACTGACTATATATCTGACCTAATTTCATAAATATGACACACAAATTACACTTGAGCTTCCTGAGCTGACACCAGCTGATTTTAATCTAGTGCTGCTACTTGCCTGTGTTTATATTTGGTTCCCTGTGAAAGCCTTTCCAGTCATGGTAAGACTGAACGTTACTTGGTTTCATCAATCTAGGTATATTTTGGCACTGGATGCCTACCTTGTGTAGTAGAGGAGGTACAAAATACATACACATTGTTCTGTCACTTTCGGGCACAATAAAATAACAATTGCAAACCTCAGCTACTGTAACTTTTCTTTGTTTTCTATTAAACCACCAAATTATCATGACAAATAATACATTCTGTGGTGTTAAGCTAGAAAAATAGCCGGACAGTCTCTCTCTGTTAAAAACATTTATCATATTAATAAATCTAGTTTACATAAATGTTGTCGTTCTAACTCTCATGTTTGGGGATCTGTGTTACCTGGTAGTTGTCGGTAGCATCTCCCAGGAGACCACCGAAGGTGATGGCGTTGGTGATGCAACCCAAGTAGATGAAGAGCACAGCAGAGATGGACTGAATGTGAAAACCCTCGTAGAAATCACTCGGTATCCACGGCAGTTTCCGCTTTATGTCCAGGTACAGGCCGCCGCAGAAACTATTGCACATTGACACGTTGACAATGGTTAGGATGCTTCACAAACGCCACTTCTCAGTACAACACATACTACTTTCTCTAAGGCAGGATCGTACGGAGCCTGTCATTTCTCATAACTGGATGGGATACTTACAAAATGATTTAAAGTGATATGTAGACACGCATTCAGAATCTGTCACTTCTAAGTGTACTTTCTAAAACCTGTA